GTTAGACACGTTGAATCACACAGTTTGGATAAAACTAATCTTCTGTTTTCCTTCTCACATAGATAAATCTATGATCCACTACACAAAAAGTACTTTCTTTGCAAATTCCTACGTTCTCCCAGCCTTCCTCCGTCCAGTTGCAATGATGCTTTGCCCATTCGTACCGCTTTTTTGTCATCGCTTTGGTTAATTTTTGCCTCTTTCTTGGTCTTCTTGCCACATATCTACAGTTAAAAAGATGTCAAAATACTATATTTTTACTTACCTACTTGCGTCAACGCATAAAGATAAAGTATTTAAGTACAATCTTGATGTCGTTTTCGTATTGTTTACGAAACAAAAGGTTACAAGCATAGATCTGCAGCATTTCATTGCGGTTGAACTTCCGTTTGTTTTACACTTCCATTGGAACAACAAACAGATATACTAGATGGGGTTTAAACTAAGCGGAAAACGATTTCAAACCCGATAAAATAAGAATTTATCAATAACCCGATATGTCTTTATTGTATAGTTGTTCCAGATGCAAGTAAAAATAGCGCTTTTGCAAAAAAAATGAAAAATTTTGAAATGTAACTTGTAAGCTTTGAAAGCTGTAATCGAAGTAAATTATTCTCTAAAAAGTTTATTGAATAGGTTTTTAACAACTAATTGATCAATTAAGAGTTGATTACAACAAAAATTACAATTAAGGTGAAGTAATTGTTTCTTGCACACTTCAATTATAGTTATAAATATGAAAGTTTTAGACATCCATTACTACTTATTTAATGCTTATTTTTAGCTGGCCTGTTATAGTTTTCTAGTTAACTATATATTGAAATAATTATAAATAGTTTCCAGAAAAAACTCACCTTGACTTGCACTGACACTCGCATCTAGAAAAAAAATACTCACATTGGCATACGCCGACGCTCACATATATAATAAAAATGTAAATATGAATGATCATTTATGTTTTTTAATTAAAGGCTGTGATTTATTTACACTTCACTACAACTAATAAAAAAAAGCTCTTTTTTATGACTAAGTTTTCTCAAAGTTAAATCAAAAATCTAGTAAAAAGGTTTTTTTCGTTTAAATATCAATGATTTTTCTGATAAAAATTTCTAACTGATGAAACCTTTGATTTTTTCTTAGCATTCTTTTTAATTCTAGATCAAGGTATAGGTGATATCTTTGACGTGTACCTTCCACAAACCTTATAAACTTGTTTGTTAGTTTTATTGTTAAAGGTGTTAGGTTTTTCTCTTACATATGGTCTACTACCAATTTTCTTTTTAATATCAATCTTTTTTTAAAATTAACTTTGGTTACAATCTTATTAACATAAAGTTCTCTTTACCCTTATTTTACCACGTCTTGTAACTAAAACAAATATTAGAGAAGAACGTATTTTAATTCTTTGGTATATGGATAGTGAATTTATGAAAAGAGCAATTATTTAGTCGAGTGCTCTTGCAACTTTTTCTGCTAAAGTTGCATTAGTAATCTTCAATCAGTCAAGAATTGCTTCATCTTACTTTGTAATTTGACCAGCTGTATACAGAATTTGGTTCTATCGATTGGATCGGTCTTATCCAAGAACATGGATCAAATACATTTGCATATCCTACCATGCAATGATGTAAGGAACTTTTTTGAGTGATTTTCTCCAATAAAAGAATTACCATATTTGCAGCTTCCTTTTTAAACCTTTTTACATCTGCAGAATTTAATTTATCTTTACGTAATAATTTCTAAAGTTTTTCTTCAGTTAAAAATCTAAAATAAATATCTTTTATCTTTAGATAAATACATTTATCAGTAACATCAAGCCCTAATATGTTAAGAACAGAATCTTATTTAAAAAGAATATCAGTTTTAACAACCTACTGCATTTGGTATCTATGCAATATATTCAGGGCCTAGCCCAGCACATATATCATCTTTCTGATAGTTTCTCAGATTTTCTGGCTGCGAGAGGTAGAAAAATAAAAAACTTTTCTCCTAAAAGTAGTTCATCTTCAACTGTTTTTTTTTTAGAACCAAAAAACTTTTACCTTGTAAAAGGTATTAGGTTCTGTCAGAAATCAATTATCTTTATTATATTTTGCCATATTTCTTTGATGTTAATGTTTGTAAGTTTATTTAAACCAGCTACTACTCTTTCCAAATGCATTTCCCGGAGAATCTGTCAGTTCACATTAGAACCATTCATAAGTAGTTGTACTTGTTTAGATAAATCCAAACATTAGGTAGTAGATTATTAAAATTTATATAAAAAAAGAAAACTTTAAAAGTAGAAATTTTAAACAGCCAATAAAATAAAATGATTAAATTTAGACAAATCCTAGAAACGTTTACAATTTATTACAATCCTATTTAAAAAATAAGTTTAGAATTACAAAAGTTTTTTTATTCTCTGACTCACTAAGAAAAAAAGCAACTGTTTCGCCTGACCACTAAGTAAATTCCCTGATATTTCCTGATCCAGTTAAAAAACATTTTTGCCCCTGACTTGCCCTAATGCTATATATTCTGATCATCATTTTTGTTTAGTTTGGCTAAAACAAAACACTAAGTTAGCTCAGCCAGTGTAAACACTAGTTAAAAACACGGTCAAAAATATAGATTTCAAGTAGATTTAAAGAATAACTTTTTTCATCATGAAATTTGATAACAAACAAAAGTTTTTATCATTCCTAGCTTAAAAATTACAATATAATGCATTTTATGCAACATTTTATACTCATTTATTTTTGCATCTGTCTATGTGGCTAAAGTGTACTTATTTTCTGTAGCTGCAGCCGGATTTAAAACTTCAGCAGTTTGGTTGGGCATCAATTTGCTTTGCATCTATTTGTTAACTAGCAAAGTTATGCTTACCGTAATGTTAAGTATATTATCTAGTGTATAACATACAACATGAAACTTTTTAACATAAATTTTCCTTGCATTTATACAAATATATAAATTTTATACAATTTTTTGTATAAAATAATACAAAAGTACTGAATTAAGCTTTTTTTTTTGGTTCATATTTGATTAAAAGAGATAATTGT